AATAAATCTTTGTTATCGCTAATTCTAATTGATATCAGATAAGAGTAATTTACATTTTAATACTTTAGTATCAACAATGACATATACGTTTATTCATGACAGACCAATATACAGAACAACTTGACATAATTTGAAAACAATGTTCTAAAAATGTATACTGGGATAATGAGGTGTATTCGTTTCTTTTGCTCCAGATTTTATTTCCTCCTACTTGTTTTCTTAAAAGCTTCCGACTTGGTTTCGGCAATTTCTTTTATCAAAATACAACCTATCATACTTGAAACAGTGTACTTGAGTCACGATAAAAATAGTCCCTTTCTAGAGCTATTTATATCTCGCATCAAGGATTTAAGCTACTTATTCAAAACAATACAAGTCTGTTATCAGTAAAAACATGATTGATGAAATCAAATAAGAAACCAATCAAGGGTGGTTATTTTAATATAAAAATGTAATTAGAAAAGATAACAAATCTCAGGAATGGTACTGATGAATTCATGAAAATTGACAAATTTGAAAATAATTATGACTGACTTAATCTTATATAAAATGGACTTAATCAGCTTCGAATTGATCTTCCTTTTTAACATATTTCAAGTCTTTTTGTTGGAAATGATTTTTTCTAAAGAGTCTCATTTAAAAAGAAGTCCCATAAGAAGTTGATTAACTAATATGGTAGCATTGGGAAACCAGTTATGTCAATGAAAAAAATCAAATAACAAGACTTTCAATCAAATTTAATGGACTTAAGTGAAACCGAAAAAAGATACTAAAAGCGTTGTCAGTTTAAAACTTTAAGATAACCCATTTTTTACAGTAATGCCAAAAAAAGAGTTTTATCCTCTTTACATTGGACATTATACACTAATTAGAAACATTATATTAAATGACTTATGATTTATGAGAAATACTCGTTAATTATCATTATAATACTAAGAAAAAACCAGTAATTTGAGGCATATAATTATGTATATCTACATAAAATTTACGGAAGGTATTTTTAAGAATGCAAACGACAACCTCATATGTATTTTTTTCAGAAAAGAAAGAAGTTACAAAAATGCTATTGTACATAAATGGTGTCTAGAACGTTGACAAAAAAAACCCCTTCATTTAATGTCATGTATTACATTTCTACAGACTATTTAATTGCAAATACTTTAAACATACATATTTGAATATCAGTTGGTTGGATAATAAACGGTTTAGTTGTTACAAACAAATTTATATTTCTTCAGAGAAGTTGATCATTGATATGCATTACTAAGTGAGTCTTCACTTTGAAAAGTAATAGATGGTGTAATGCCGTTCAGCAATGTTGCCTTTTCAATATAAATTAACTTCCTGGCAGACCATATCATGACCCGGTTTTCATGATTACCATAACAATTTATGATTTAAAAGAATTTTAGACTAAGTTTGATCTTAGCCTCCTAGATAGATGAGTAAATACAGTAATTGTATTTTATGACCAGATATATTGGAACCGAGGTTGGTACAGTGTTAAGAAATATTTTGAAAGTGTGTTTCAATATTTAGAGCATTGCTTTGTATTTGATCGTTTACATTTGAGAAGCGCTTAATATGCAATTACAATAACTTTATTTTGATACCAGGCATTCACTGTTAAACACAGTTGACTTAAAGAAACATTGACAGTTATAAAATGTCTTAGAATCTCATTTCTGTTATGGTCCTAAAAACACAAGGACATGCATTAATATTTAAATGCTCTTGAATGTATGGATTTTTTAAGGAAAAGTTTATTTGTGCAATTTGCCAAATCTTGATATACTGGTCAACGATTTCCATTTAAGGATTACGGACCCAGAAAAATCGGTATTTTCCGTGTTATTTCGGTAGATTCCGGAATGTTACGTTTCCGACCATGTGACCATGATAAATGACCACTTGATCGGATTCTGAGCTGATACAAAGATGGCCGAACAAACGCGCAATCGTAGAGGCAGATTTGCATCCTTAAAAAAAGAACCTGCTAAGCAGAAAGCATATGAGCTGAAAGAAGAACACAGCTATGTAGCAACTGATTATGTTGAAGTTAAGAGTTGCAAGACTGTGGATGGGAGTTGGAAGGAAGGCACGCGAGTTGTTGAATTCGCCGTGTTGTTGGAGGGACTGCGGTTTTGCAAATCGTGTCGACTTGGCCCTATTCCTTTAACTATAGAGAACGTCATTGGGGAATTAAAGAAGGGATAAGGAGGATATCTAAAAGTGAAATGTTTGAACTCAGATTGTGGTCACGTGAACTGTATAGCGTATGGAAAATTAGTGAAAGGGAGTAAACAGGTTGCCTCAACTTTTGCCGTGAATACGAAGCTTGGAACAGGTAACCTCTTGAAATTTAATTCCTTATGTTGATAAATTATTGTATTAACACTTGATCTCCATCATTGATTCATTCAGTGGTCTGTTAAGAAAGTGTGTACGATTTCACACAATATTTTGTAAACATATGTTTCGTACCCAAGCAATTTCGAACCCAGTAAAAAAGGTCATTTTATATCACAGTTTTGGGAAATTTTCTATGCCAATTTATCTATTTATACTGCAGCACACTCGTCAAGAGCATTATGTGCAATTGATAGTCATATGTCGAATTTGTTTCCATTGATTTTTTTTGTAAAACAACAATTTTTTATTGAATGTTTGCCATTTGTTTATGCATTTATAATTTATTTGTTTATGCATAATTACATGTATTAGTGAAATGTTGCGCAGAAGCCCGCAGTGAAATTTCATAGGCATACTGCTACAAAATGTAATGCTTTATGTAAGTGTTCATGTATTTTATGCCTTTTAATTCATCCAAAAGCATATACATATATAATTGCTAAGAATGAAATTCATTGGCCTAGAAACTAAATTGGGTTGAAATGAAAATATTGTCTCAATAGAAACTAGATGTTTCTGTGTATTTTCAGCCATGATCGACACATTGGGAGGCCCGAATAAAGTCAACAACATGCTGGCAGCTATGAATATACCCACTATCAGTAATAGTAAACTGAAGAAAATGGAGAGGAGGGCAGGGTCATGCATTGAAAAAGTGGCGTCTGAGTCAATGGAATCTGCAGGCAAAGAAGCATTTCAGAGAGAAATGGAGTAAGTATTTTTCAAATGCATTTCTTAAAATAATAAGTTATTTGAAGAATAAAATGAACAAATATTAGTTACATCTGGCACGAACCAAAATTATTCTTGTGCTTGGACATAAAACATATATGATATAAATCAGTTCAATGTGATATTTCGTTGAATATTTGAAAATGGGCGACAAAACTGAAGTGCATGCACATACACGTATGGAACTGTTTCACATTTGAAAATCCCATTTGGACTTCACATCAGAAATTTTCCAGAATACCTGGTTAAAGTTATACTTCTATAAAAACATTTATATATTGTTTTCTTGTATCTTATAATTCTTTCTTTCTAAAGGGACATAGCTGTGTGTGAGTGTTTGGAAGCAGAGAAGTCAACAAACATTCTTATAAAGGACCTTGGGGTTTCTATTCTTCCAGAGGCTTCTCCTATGAAAGAGTAAGTTTAAAAAATATACCCGTTACTGGCTGAAATAAATGTTGAGTAGTACATGTACTGTTTTTCTTTGTATATAGTTTACTATACACTACTGGAGTTCTCAAAATCTTCTTTGCACATGACTGTAAAAATTTATAATTATAAACATGACTGATGACACATATGTGTCTTTTGTCTGGTTTAGACTGTTGTTTACTTTCTTTTCTTTTTGTCTTTTCAGGGAGTTGATAATACCAAGCGACACTAAAGACATAAGTTGGGCAGATGATACAATGAGTCCACAATCTTCGCAGGAGAAAGGTGTTAAGAGAAGGTAGGACTCATATGAACATAGATTCATTGTTAGAACATCAGTTGAATTTCAGTGCAAAGTACACAAAGCTTGAAAAAAAAATATCTAAAAAACTTCGTAGTTGAAAATCCCTTAAACTAAATTTGCACTGTAAATGCAAGGGCTATTTGTCACACTTCTGTTCTGTTTCTTTTTATACCAGTGTTCATTCTGTCAAAAAAAAGCTATGGGACCATTAGGGCCACTTAATTATTATATAAACCAGCATGTTAAATATACATGTGAACATTGTTCTTTTCATACACTGTAAATGTTTTGACAATCAATTAAGATATTGAAACATTGCCTTTTCTTTTTTTCTTTTAATACAGAAAACATAGATTTGTTATCCATGGACATAAGCTGGGTAAAACTTCATGTAAGAAGAGTTTGTTGAAAAGGTTCCCTTGTAAAACCCGCTCTGGCATGTCTTGTTCAAAAATTCAAAATTTTACTATTTCATGTTAAAATGTTGAATTCTGCTTAAGCCGGTGCTAGGGGGCGTGGACGGTAACTTGCACTTTCCAGTACCGTCCATGAACAGGCTCAATCAAACCGAGCCTGCAACATTTTCAATTTTGCCGTGTTGGGCTTTCTTTAGGGATTCTGTATTTATCTATTTTGTGCAGTTGATACAGCCTGGCAAAAACGAGGCTTTGATAGTCTTACATGTAAGTAGAAAAAAATGAATCTGTAAATTAATGTTTCAGAGTAAATTTTACACAAAAATAATAGCAGTGTTTTAGTTTGTGATCTGTTAACCAGTCGGACGATTGAAGGGTTATGACGTTAGCAATTTATTCGGTTATTGCCATCCCTAGTAAACAGCCTTATAAAAATCTGGAAGAAGTGTGATTCTTCAGAAGCCTTAACCAAAACAAAATTACATGAAAAATTGCAGACTCAGTTTGATTAAAGTTAAGCTTTTTACATAATGATCACTTCGTAATTAGTTGAACATGCTTTAGCCTTTATGTATGTTTACACTTTATGTATGTTTACATGTAAATGTAGTTTAAAACATGCAGTCCAGCTGCTTTGTAAAATCGTGTCAATTGAAAATGATCTTTCAAACAATTTTCTGTATTATTTTGTTTTACAGCTCATACCTTTTTTATGAGTAAGGCGAAGTATGGTAAAAAGGTATTGAAGGCTATTGTAAAACACCGAACCTGTGGAACATGTAAATGGTGGAAAAGAAACAAACCAGATCAACCAGTACGTCTACACCGCTTGGTCCAAAACCATACAGGAAGTGCAAGATCGATGGAGAGTGCGAGCGGGAACAAGGTATATTGGAATTGTTCAAAGAAGGAACACCTGTAGAGTATATTGAAGGTGATGGAGACAATACACTTATAGCTCGGTTAAAGTCTAATCAAAATATTAATATGAAAAAGAGATTTGATAGGAACCATGTTGTGAAGAATGTTGGTAAACACCTGTTTCAGTTGCAAGCCTCCAAGAAAGTTCGTCTCAGTAAAGTTGTAATTAACCACATCCAGAAGTGTCTCAAATACGCCTTTGCTAAAAACCAAGGAAACAAAGAAGATCTAGAACAAAATCTGAGGGCAATCATACCCCATCAGTTTGGGGACCATAGCTTCTGTTTCCCAAAGTTTTGTGGCTACAAGAGGGACCAAAGTGTAAAATATCTTCATCGTAGCTTGCCATACAAGGGCCCTATCAAAGATGAAACAGGTCAGCTTCGGGAAGAACTTGACAAAGTTTTCGCACCTGTCATTGGCAATGCAGAACAGTACTCTGACTTGGGTTCTTCACAACAATGTGAACATGCTAACAGGGAAGTATCGTTGAGGGCCCCAAAGTCACTTCACTATGGAATAACTCTGAGGTCCCTTGGACTTCCGAGTGCAGGCGAAGCAAGCCTTCAGCAATGAAAGGATAGAACTTATATGCAAAGGTACTAACAAGAGTTTGACACTGAACTTGCATGTGATTAGTTTGATTTTGTTTTATTTAGGGCTGGATCTCATTTTGATATGAAATACTTTTACACAAAATTTACCTTTCAAAAATTCATCAAGATGACTTTACAAATTTAATTTAAAACTATTTTGATGGGTATGTTTGTACCCTTTTGATATCCAGCACAAAATCAGTAGGGTTTAAGCTGCAGTTAGTGATTTGTTTCTTATTTGTTTTAAATACAAGCAAAACAGCTGTAAAATAGCAGTATTTATTCTTTTAGATGATTTATTTCAATTTATAAAGCCTGCAAAATACTTAGCCTGAAATTTAAATCTAAATCACTGGCTGTAGCTTTAAGGGTTAAAAATGGTATTCCTTTTTCAATTCAGGAAATGAAGTTGTCAGACATGTTTTGCTAAGATTATTTGTTTCTCACGTTTTTTTTTATTCGTTTGATGTTTACAGTTCACAGTTCATGTTGATTTATGTTTACAGTTCACAGTTCATGTTGATTTATGTTTACAGTTCATGTTGATTTCTTTGTTTGTGTTGCAGTTACACTGTTGGATATTTTCATACAGTTTCAAGCATATGGTGCCTTCTGCAAGTAAGTACTGTTCATAGTTTGTTATTATTTGTTTACATTATACATGTATTGTCTATAAAGTTAGAACACAACAATGTTGCAGAGTTATGTTGCTTTTTTCAAGTGAATATACATGTATGCATTATATGCTACTTACATAATAGTCCTTACATTTTTACATTATTAAAAAGGCGAATGAAAACTTTTATCATACTAATATAATAAGCTTTTGGGCATCATTCAAGTGTTATGAATGATTACATTGAAGAGCAATGGTGACCCATGTTACTACAACAACTTAGTTCACTATGGCAACTAAATCTAGACCAGATATGTCAAATTGTCTTGATTGGTAAATGTATGTAACTATCAAAGCTTACACAATTTTTTCTATGTTAGGCTAATGAAGAAGGAGGTCTTTCTCCGGGGTTCCACACAGAAAAGTACTCTAAGAAGTGTATGAATGAACGCAAGCGCCGAATGGAACGCTCCAGTCTTCCTTCGTCCAAGCGTCGCAGACTCACATTGAAACAAGAGAGGTGTATATGTAAAGGAGCAACTGAAGTGCTAGAAGGTGCCACATATCAGTCAGGTTAGCCTTTTATCTTGTAATGTTAAAAAGTAAAAAAAAAAAGTGGTACGTCAACTGCTTAGTGCACTGGGTACTTATAGTAGAGTTTCAAATCCTAAGAAAGTTGTAAGTTCTACCACTGGTCTGGTCATAGTACTGATCAATAGATGGACAGAAAGTATTGTTTTTATAAAAAGGATGTAATGTTTGCTCACTCAACTGTGCTGAATATGGTTAAAAGACCTTTGGTACTCTAACAGTTCAAATGTTTACATTGTCTTATAATTTATGATTGGACACACATTATTCTAATACAATGTACTTCAGAAATTGGTCTTCAGAATGATGTTGATGTGGAAACAATTCCGGACGCTGTACCACGTGGTGATTTTAAGCCCCTGAAACTTCAAAACTCGATGCCAACATTTGTTGTATTAGACTCAATCAAAATTCTGGAAACAAAGTGATCCCTCGGAAGCATTAATCACAACAAAATAACATAAGAATTGCAGACTCGGTTTGATTGAGTCTGTACATGAGGGATAATGAAGAAGTGCAAAACCGAGTCTGCAATTCTTATGTTATTTTGTTGTGATTAATGCTTCCGAGGGATCACTTTGTTTCCAGAATTTTGTACTTCACAACAGCAGGTGTCAAGTGCCGTGTGGCAGCCGTAAAAAGTTGCCCCGTACTTCACGTCAGTGTTGATATATTTTCTGGTCCTTCGGGATCATTGATGCCAACACTATAAAGTGTTGAGAATTGAATACCGCTCAAGCCGGTGCTAGGGGGCGTGAGGGATGTTGTACTTATTCATTATCCAACATGTACAGACTCAATCAAACCGAGTCTGCAATTCTTATGTTATTTTGTTGTGATTAATGCTTCCGAGGGATCACTTTGTTTCCAGAATTTTGTACTTCACAACAGCAGGTGTCAAGTGCCGTGTGGCAGCCGTAAAAAGTTGCCCCGTACTTCACTTCAGTGTTGTTATATTTTCTGGTCCTTCGGGATCATTGATGCCAACACTATAAAGTGTTGAGAATTGAGTACCGCTCAAGCCGGTGCTAGGGGGCGTGAGGGATGTTGCACTTATTCATTATCCAACATGTACAGACTCAATCAAACCGAGTCTGCAATTCTTATGTTATTTTGTTGTGATTAATGCTTCCGAGGGATCACTTTGTTTCCAGAATTTTGGAGACTACAGATCTTAGAAAGTGTGTTATATAACTACTTCTTATATTGGCGGTCTAATATAGATTTATGTTCCATTATTATAAAAAAAATAATGTGTTGCTTTTCAATAACATCATGAATGTTTTACATATGAAAGTAACTTTAGAATGATGGAATATTTGAGCTGCGTCATGTGAAAATGGGCCTTAAGGCGATTTCCACCAGCTGGCATGGATCCATACTGGTTGGGCTCGCTTTTATATCCATTTTCTCATGATGCGGCTCATATCTGATGTGTTTTATATAAATTGCTTTTTTGTTTATTTCAGTACGAAGTGGGAAAATGCCTCATTTGACCCAGATTGCTGCCAGAGAATTAAATAGTGGTAGTGAGTTTTCAACTTATGTTACACCGAAGCTACTTATATCAGAAGGAGCACAGCAGACCACTGGTATTAGAATGGCAGATAATAATGTTATGTATGTTTCCGGAACTATAGTAGAAACTGTAAACATTCAATGTGCTGTTGAAAATTTCATAAAGTGGCTAAAAAAGTATAACATAGTAGTGTTGGTGGCACACAACGGGCGGAGGTTTGATTTTTCAGTTCTTGTTGCTGCAGTTTCTAATGTGAATAAGTTGGAAGAATTTTTAGCAAGTGTTGTAGGTTGTTTGGATACATTACCATTGTTTCGTAAGACCTATTCTGACAGAAGTAGTTACAAGCAGGGAGATCTTGTACAGGACATTCTCGGTATACAGTATAATGCCCATGACGCTCTTGAAGATGTGCGCGCCTTAGTGAAATTGTTCCAACATTGTTGTGCCTTAGTAAATGATATGATAAAGTTCACTTTTTCTCTAAATGCAGTGTATCACCAATGTTTGTCATCGAAGGAAAAGGCAAAGAATTTACCGTCATTGTCATGTCTTATAGCAAGTAGTGTTTGTAAACTTCCTACAGCTGAAAATATCGCGTCTTCTGGGTTAAACCTGGAGCATCTAAGGAAAATCTTTATACGTGATGGTGAAGATGGACTACACAGTACATTCACGATGAGAAACAGTGAAGGCCAACCACGTGTAACAAACACAAAAAGGACACTTGAGACTGTCATTCCTAAACTGGCTGATTTCTTACAAAAAAAACAGTTAAAATTTGTTTTACTGATAATTGAGCCGTGTCATGACAAAACCAACATAATGCGTTTGCGACCAGCATGGATCCAGACCAGCCTGCGCATCCGCTCAGTCTGATCAAGATCCATGATGTTCGCTATCAGTTTTCTCTTCTTGTATTAGAGTTAGTAAGCGAACAGCATGGGTCCTGATCAGACTGCGCGGATGCGCAGGCTGGTCTGGATCCATGCTGGTCGCAAACGCATTATGTTGGTTTTGTCATGACACGGCTCATATATACTGTTGGATCTCCAAATGCCATAAGTTATATTGTACTGAAGATATGTTTCAGCAATTTTCTATTGCAGGAAAGCAGTATATTTCAAAGTATTTTCACTCAAGGCCATATTGACATGTTTTCATTGAAATTTAGGCTTACTTACATTTTTAACTTTAGTCACAGAATCAAAACCAAAATGTTACATTGTTAATACATTTTTTTATTTTTTGGTATCTGCAGCACACATCAAAAAACATAACATATGATAAATAGTAGGATATTTTTCTTTGTAAGTATTATTTTTGTGAAAATTTTAGTGCTTGGTGTGGATAAATAGTTCTTGGTCACTATTTGATTTTCTAGCTCTCGACCACATGTATGTATACAAAATTTTGAAGAAAACACATGATTTTATTGTTGACAGAAGGTACCTTTTCTATTGATATAAGTGTTTTTATTGCATTGCAAGTCTTGTATTGTTTCTAAGCAGAAGCTGTAGCATTATTTAATAGTTTGAAACAAAGAAAGAATAAATAATGAAATTTGACCTCAAATTGTCTCCCTTGACATTTGATACCAAACTCATAAAATGTAGTGGTTTGAACTAACTAGACGGTAAAAGTTTTTCCTTTTTTAATATTTTCCCCTTTATATCTGATAGAAACTTTGTATTTGGGTTTTATATTGTGAAACAATATTGAAAGCATTAAAAATTTGGCCAAAACATTGTGTATTTGGACATGACATGGAAAAAAAGCCAGAGTCCGCAGGGTCAAAATTTTTCACATAATACATTTTATTTTTCTTTTTTCTTTGTGAACAATTGTTATCAGTAAAGTAATGCATGATATAAACTAAGGTCATATGAACAAACAAGGTACATTTCACAAATATATTCCTCAATTTGGAAAAATTACACAAGATTTATAGCATCTAGGTATTTGCTCTTTGGGGTTCTTCTCGGAAAAGTGGGGTAGCCGACATCAAATGTACATATCTCATGTTTTGAACGGTAAATTTTAATAAAATTTCATATTTGGGTTGTCTTAATGGATGCTTAACAAGAAATCATCAAGTTGTTTAAACCAAATTTTTTTAACGTGGTTTCAAGGGGCCGTAAAAACCCCTTTAAAAAAATTTTTTAAACGGCCCCTTTAAAATTAAAAAAAGATCTTTTCGCAATCAATTAACTTATTCAAAAACGAAATTGAATGAGGGAAAACTTGCTCATTTTTAGCATATGTGTAGAATAGTTGCTCAAATTTATATGCTGTCAACAACTCGTGTCTTGATTTCCTTAAGGTATACAATTTTGTTCGTGCACAATGATTTTGAACATATATACAATCTGTTTTATTTTTTGAAGAAATGTTCGGACTAACATAAACAATGCTTATTAAAATATTGAAGTTAAATGAAAATCATATCAATGTAATTTTCCACCGTAGAGCAACATTCAAATCTGATTGACCAGATATCATTGATATTTACCCATGTAGTTTGCTTTTCTACCGGGGCACTCAATTGAGCAATTACACACAAAGAGAGACGGTATATGTTTTCAAAATAAACTTTTTCTAATTAAGCTGATTCAAATATGTTTGGAATAAAGAGACAATATCAATACCGAATATTCAGGATAATGCTCGGAAAATTTATTCATGGCATCGTAATACTGTCTAGTTGGATAGAAAACTTGTTTATTTTAGCTTTAGTTTTTTTTTTTAAGAATTGAAAGAAATGGTACCATTGCTATTGCTAATAAACTTAGATTTATGTGGTTGCTTTTAAGTTATCACATAATTGCAACGTCTGCTTCCTCTCGCATTATTTAGAAAAAGGTTACCGGTTAGTGACTTCCTTCTCGTTTTGCGTAAACACAGTACTAATTAAATCACAATATTTCTATATCTAGATACGAGTCTGTGGTATTTCTGAACAACATGGCCTTCTCCAACAAATGTATATGGATCGGACATAAGATAAGCTAGCTACAGATAACGTGTTATCATTGCACAAACATTTTAGAACGTACTTAAACATACAGAAAACAAGATTTTATTGCCAGAAATCAGATTGTATCAGAATAAATTTTAATATGAATTTGTATTATTGTATACTATGTATGAGTATATTTCCAATAAAAACAAATGGTTACATCAAGTGATCTATTTTCAAAATATTTTCCCTATCGGAGCCTGATACTAGCTGGCCAGACAACTAAAGTAGCATTAGAAACTCTTCAATGAGTGAATAAACACACAAAACGTTGTCTTTTACTTTTGTCTTTTTCAAACTCGGCATATAACTAAAATGAGCAATGGAATATCGTTGCATTATACTCTTCACGTATTTAAATTTAATATTATTCATATATATTGTATAATGACAAGTGCTGAATAAATTCCAACTAGAAGGGTCCCCACTCCAAAAAAAATTTTAAAAAAATCAACACACGTCTCCCAGAACTAGGTATGATACTGATAACTCCTGTGAAGTTTAGTCAAAAGCCTGATAAAGCCGGACAGTACTTTTCCATCTAAAACTCGTGTAGTCATTTTGTGCAGCGAAGCATGTCCGCGATATGCATAACTAGGAATGGTACTGATAACTCCTGTGAAGTTTGATTGAAATCCCCCTACAGTTTGACCTGTGTAAGTCGGACAAGGTTTTTCTTTTTCTAGCTCTGGTGGTCATTTTGTGCATCGAAGAATAACATGGCCATGATGCGCACAAGTAGGGATGGTACTGATTACTACTGTAAAGTTTGGTTAAAAACAGTTTGACCTGTGAAAGCCGAAAAGGAGTGTTCTGTTTTGTGTAGCGAAGCGGAACAAGCTATGCACAACTAGGGATCGTACTGATCACTCCTGTAGAGATTGGTCAAAATCTTAGCAGCAGTTTGACCTGTGAAAGCCGGACGATCTTGAAGCGGAGGGACGGACGACTGGACGGACAGAAGAATGGCGAAGGCAAAAATAATATGTCTCCCAAAGATTATGGGTCACGTATAAAGCAGCCCAACCATTCTATGAAACACAATATGTCATCACACATTAAATATAGACATATTCGAGCAAAGGTAAGTCATATGAAAATGTGTTGTTGTATACATTTAACAATCAAATTATATTGATGGTGACTTGTTTGATTAAAGTCGATTAACTACAATCAAAAATGTTAGTTTGAATGCTAAATGGTGAATCATATGTACTCGGGGAAATATTTGTTAATGCGAGAAAAGAAAAGAATCTATCTAATTTGTTTTAAGAATTAAATCATACATTTTTTACCATATTGTATTTATATAAACATTGGATGCATTAATATGATTTTAAATATACACTTATTTGTTTTCTCAATGCATTTTCTAATCATTTGTTTGGCTTTGCCACGTTAATGAGTATTATGTTTTGTCTTAGATCATCATTATTATAATTAGTTACTCTCAGGTACAAGTTCTATTCAGAGTTTATATGCTGTACTCAGGAGATATCATACGAAACCAATTTGTTATATATTATCTTTAAAAGCACCAGTTGCAAATTTCCATACATTTTGATGAACCTCATATAAACATTTTAAAAATTTCAGTTTCCGAAAAATGGATACATGATTTTGTAACTCATGTACAACTTACTATATATAGGTAACCTTCTAAATAACAAACTGTGAAAATGGTTCTACACGGACAGACAAAGGACCAAATACCTTTGTTAAATGTTTACAAAATAAATCGAAATAATATGATATCTGTCTGTTTGAAAACAATGTTTTTTGTACGCGCTTTAATCAGGCATTATTACAAAAGGAACTCATAAAATCTGTTTTGTATGTATATAATTTTAGTCATGTTCTTCTTAAGTATATTCACTAATAAACAGTTTTTTATTTTGTCATCCATTGTCTATTTTTATTATAATGCCTTAATTTGATGTAAATTTGTTGTTGGTCAACATTATTCCACTTTATGTTATTTCAAGCTATTCATGTATCTAATCATAACAGACATTTTAAGACTTTCAAATTATCTAAATTGTACTTTGATAGACATAAATTGAAGAGGTTTTATCTCAATTTTATTGTAACGAACAATTTTATGAATCGCATGTTATAATACGCTTTTGTAAAAGAAGTTTTAGAACAAAACCATTCTCTTGGACATCATTATTTCCATTTTATTGAAGTAAAGAATATTTATAAGTCATTTAAGAATCCTAAAATAAGTTTTATAACTTAAATAAATATTTATGAAATAAAACTCTCTGGATTTGTTAAATCCCACCAGATAAAATACCGTTTTTCTCGTACCTAATTGTATATTAAGTATTGAAATATTCCTGTAATGTCATTTGTTATTACAACATATCAAAGACAACTAAATAAAATATAATGTAATGAAAGTTTTTTTCGTGATAAATTTAAGACAATTGAGATATTAGGTCGGTAAACTTTAAAATTTCTTTCTTTTCTTGTTGGAATTTCTTTAAACGAGACAAGACATTCTCTCAATGATTTACATAAAATATGAAAAACAAGATCAACAAGGAAGGGTGGAATTCAATTGACGCATCTCCCTACACGATCCAGCAACGCAGACCTACCGACACATTATAAACGCAGAAAAAATGTGAAAGCACTCTCCGGAAATAAAACGTAAAAACGAGTGAAATTTGTATTTTCTGGATAATCTTGTTAGAAATGTGTAACGTGCTTTTCTTCGTTAACGGCTGAGGTAGGTTAATGTCCTGTTAACATAATTTATGCCAAAATAATTAAGATCCTGTAACACAATTTTTTATGGTATTATTTTATAAATATGATGCTCAAATTAAGATTTGTCAATATTGTAAGTTCCAATAAGTATTATTTATTAAGGTATTACCAAATTTAACATTTCATGTAAATAAAGGGAGGTAATTAGAAATTTTTTTTTCTATAAATTCTAAGCCAAATTTGCAATAAGAAATGAATGCATATAATTCATTGATTACATATATTGTGTTCAAATATTTGCAGAACATATTTTACATATTCTTCGATGTTTGAAAATTGTTTATTTGCGTAATTATATAATTATATACATATATAATTTCTTGTAAGTGTGGTACAAACACAGTAATAATATCAATCACAAAACATACAGGATCGTTTAATGATTACAATTTCTAGTAAGAATCGTTATCTGCTTGTTTGAGGCCCGACTCATGTTTTCGTATAGTATTTTCATTGAAAAATATGGAAAAAGTGTGATGTTTCGGAAGCACAAAAACACAAATAAACATGAAAATAACAGACTGGGTTTGATTGAGTCTGTACATGCGGGATAGTAAAAAAGTGCAACATCCCTCACATCACTACCACTCGCTTTAGCGTACTCAATTTTTAACTATGACCATCTTGATACATTACCTCCGCTTTGTAAAGTATTTTCAAATAGGTTACAACTACGATTGAATACATTGAAACTTAGGGCAATGGGTTCAAACCCGAGAAGGGTCAAACTTTTCTTTCTTTCTTTTTTTAACATTATTTATGTATCTCTCAACTACTCTCTCATATCCCTTTTGGGAAGAAAATTTATTAATATAGCTACTTATTGGCTGAATAATGCTAAATCTAAACCTGCAACTATATAAAATGAAAACTACACGGTAAAAGTATTTAGTATTTTATTACAAACCAATATACTTTTGCAAAAAATGGAAAATTTAGGGATTTTTCTAATTAGGCTCTTTAATTAGGAAAATGATTAAAAAGGTATTACAAATGGATGGGTTAGGGTAACAATTTTTATATATATTTCATAAATTTTAGTAGAAACAATCATTTTGCTTATGTGGATTGTTAGTTGATTGTTACATTTTGTTTCTTATTTTAATTTAATGGGAGAACATTTCATGTAATTTTGTAATGCTTCAGAGGGATCACTTTTTTTCCAGATATCACAACGCCAGTTGCCCGTACTTCACTTGAATGTTGTCATATTTGTCTGGTCCTTCTGAATTATTGACTCCAGCAATTTAAAGTGTTGAGAATACTGCTCATGCCGGTGCCAGGGGCATTAGGGATGTTGCACTTTTTTACTATCACTATTCCTCATGTACAGACTCAATCAAACCGAGTCTGCAATTGTCATGTAATTTTGCTTCCGAGGGATCTTTTTTTCAGATAATTCTATCAATAAAAATATCGTGTCTTTCCATAAACCGCAAAAAGAAGCGAGGCAAGCCTACACCCTAGTATTAAATATGTTTCGTTAGATTTTGTAGTGTTTTTGGTATCATTCGGTGTAATATATTTAAGAACAAGAGTTACGTCTGAAATAATGATACTTGTAAATGCCTCAGTTGCTTAATGGATAACACAAATTATACAAAATTGTAAAAAAAGTGTTATACGCGTGCATATAATTTTTTTATTAAGTTGCTCATCACCACATCACACTAATCGTAATAAACCTATGTGTTTTCTTTTTACAAACCTATTATATAAATCGTTGAATTAAAATATATTATTTATTCTGCTATATTCTGTATTTAATATACATCGAGACAAACTTAGTAGACTTTTGTTTTGAAAAAAATGCTTTTAAATTTTAGATAAATGTCATTGTTTTTCCTAGGGTTTTTTTAAAACTAAAAAATAAAAAAAAACGGGGTTCAAAGATTTAAAAATTTATTCTTCGATTGTTTAAAGGGAAAAAGGTTTGAAAAAGAAATAGTGTTTTGCCCGTTTTTAAAATTTTTTATTTACTAATTTTTCCCGTGATCTTTTAAATACTTTTGAAATTTTCTAAAAGTTTTTAACTTTAAAGGAAAAAAAGCCGGTTTTAGAGGGCATGAAGGGTTGCGGGTTTTTCCCTTTATCAGTCAAAAACAAAAATTGATTAAAACCCGGTGACTAAAATTTTTTCGTTGAAATTGCCCTCATGATTTGGGTTCCCCTTTTGGGAAAAGATTATTTCCCTTTTTTGATGCAGTTTTGGGGGTTTTTGTTTTGGACGGGGCTTTAAATTTTTCACAGAAAACCCCTTTTCAGGGGAAAACTTTCCTTTGTAATGAACACATTTACGAACATTTCTCAATTCCCACTATTTTCATATTCTGCTTAAGCCGGATCTAATTAGGGCGTGAACGTTAGCTTGCAGTTTTTCAATACCGTCCATAAACAGGCTCTACCAAGCCGAGCATGCAACATTTTCAATTCCGATGTTAGGCGAAATGAGGAAAAATTCCGTTGATCTCGATAAATAGAGTTCTTGCCCCTTAACAGTTCACAATCGCAAGGCATTGTTTAAATTGTTTATATACAATTTTCTAATACCCTAAGCATCAGACACCGAGCTTTATTTAGCATAAACACTGAATAATGGAAATAAGCGAAAGCCATGCCAGCGATAAATCATATAAGGCACACTTTAACAAAACTCATCGTGTAATTTTCAGTGTATAAAAGGAAGTAGGGTATAAAAAATAGTCGGTTTTGAATAGCTTCTACAAAAAAGTAATACAAAAAGGAAATAAACCGTATATAGTTTGTATAGAGCATGAAAAAAGGTAGCTTATACATGAAGGTATATGACATTTAACTATTCCAAAACAGTATGATAAATGGCTTGTGCAAGTTCAATTATAATCACGCAATGAAACAATTAGTCACTACGCAAGATTGAATGAATTAATGACAAATGGAATCAAGCATTATGCAAAGTCTAAATATAATAAAGCAAGAAGGAATTAAGCATCCTGCAAGTTCCAGTGTCATCATGCAAGATAGAATAAATAAATTAATTTCTTTCCGATTTGCAGATATATAAAGATATCTTGTATCATTGTAATTTTCTACACTAAAGCAATTGAACAAATATCATTAATATTCTCATGTGTAGTTTGTTTTTCTGTCGGGGTACTTAATTGAGCGATTACATATAAAGAGATACCGTATATGTATCTCAAATTTAGCTGATTGTGGAAAAAAGAGACAGTATTGACACCATATTTACAGGATAATGCTCGGAAAATTTATTCATGGCATCGTAATACTGTCTCCTTGGATAGAAAGCTTGTTTATATAGCTCTA